GAGAAGCTGTGGCTGCCCCATCCCTGGAGGTGTTCAAGGCCAGGTTGGACGGGGCTTGGAGCAACCTGGGCTGGGGGGAGGTGGCCCTGCCCAGGGCAGGGGGGGTTGGAACTGGGTGGTCTTCAAGGTCCCTTCCAACCCAAACCATTCTGTGATTCTATGATTTCCACCCAACTTGTCAAAAGTGGGCTGTGATAACGGGTACCGAGGTACAGCAGCGTTCAGCCATGTCTAGCTTGAAGCCTGCATCCTTCCCGAAAGCCAGGTTTATGGCAGATCAGGCTGTACATCCAAGAATTAACCCTTCCTGTGGAAACCTTGGGATGCTGTCTCAACTACGGTTGAGACAGTCAGGGACTGAAGGACCTTGAACTGAAATTCCTAAAGGAGCTGAAGGCTCCACAAATGGCTTTTAAAGATCGCGAGAAGAATGAAACGCAGCGTCCAGCGAGTAAATAAAGAATCATACAGCAGAAATAATGTATGTAGAAAAACGGTGTGCCATGCATTTATAAACCTTCACGTGCCTCATCTGAGAAATGTCATGCTGAAAGAGGTATGAGATGACTTTTCAGTTAGTTCCACTGATTCCCGAATGAAAAGTCCCCTAAGGGTCCATTGATTGGTTTCAGAAAGCTTCTGCAAATACAGCAAGCTGGCGGAAAGTCAGCGGGGATAAATTGGATAATGACTTTCAGTGGCTACTGAAATTAAAGTTGATGAAATATGTTAAATTGGGTGAAAACAGGTTTGTTTAACATGCTGCAAAATGTCTGGGATTGTAGGGAAGAGGGAGAGATTTGTAGTACGTTTAACGTTTTGGTTCTTTTGGATTTGCAGATGAATGCAGTTGGAATAACTGAGAACGTGAAAGGAGATCATCGGAAATTCGAAATCTGGTATAGTGGGCGAGAAGAGGTCTATGTCGTGCAGGTTTGTGGCTTCAGAAGTCTGGATATTTGTATATCCTCATAACGGCGTTAGGGAAATGACTCCTGTTGATCTTTATGGGATTAGCAGACATTTAACTCGCGTTTGTTCTTCCTCTTTGCCCGCATCAGCACTCTCAGAGCTGTCCCGGGGCTGGTTCACAGTGTCCAGTCCACAACTGTAAAAGTCATCTTAAAGTGGAGACAGAATTGCCCCTCGGAAATAGAACCTTTTAGTCCAGATGCAATCTCAAATAGACCTGTAGTTGAGAAAAAGATTTTTACTGTCCCTAATAGCTTATATGAATTGGGCTGGGAAACGGGCCTCGTGCGCCGATGGACACGGACCACGTGTGCCCCTCCACAATTCGATGTCAGAACTGCTCCCAGAGCAAAGGCGCAGCTCCACGGTGCTGTTTCCAGCAGTCTTTCGACTCGTCTACAAAATAGTAGCCCGATTGACCTCATTCCTTCCTGATTTATTTTTTTTTTTCCTTCTGTAGCATTTTGAATGGAAGTTTCTGGAGGCGAAGTGTTTGCCTAAGGGGATGTTCACAGGAAAACCTGTTGTGAAAGTATTGTTGGTTGATTATTGTTTTTTAATAGGTCCTCTGCCCACCTTTTTTTCTCCCTGTTACAACACATTAACCAACTTAAATTCATAAAGCAGATGGACATAGCCAGGTATATATATATTCAAAAGGGCAGGTTGGGCCCTGTAGGTATTTTGTGAAAGAGAGAAGATGCATGCACACGTGTGCTTTTGCCTGTGCTCCTTGCCTTGTAGTGATGGCTCTGCAATTTCCAGGGTTTTGCCTGGACATAGTGAGGATCATCAATTTTAAAAGATCAAGAATGTTTAAAATTTAGCAGTGGCTTTGGGTAAAAGGGGATTTCAGATAATTACAGCATAGAAAAGTAAGGGTTTATTCATCCATTATAATGGATGATTCTTAACTCAAAATTCAGACAGTTTTCTCTTCTTCCAGGCCCAAACGGTAGATCTGAAGATGGCGTGGTTGAATGAAATAAGAAAAATTTTGTTCAAGCAGCAGGAGCTTATAAAAGGTACATTTGAGCAATTTCTCTGTGGCATTCACTCTGCAGCAGAACCTTTCCTATTTTCACATTGCTAATCTTCAAATCCACTAATTCTCACCAGAGAATTGATTTTCAGAAGCAGCCTACTAGCAAAATGCTGGAGGGAGGCCTTATATTACAGGGAAGGAACGTAACTTAGAGCAGCAAAGGCCAGGTGCTTATGTGAAAATGAATTACAGAAGTACTTTTTTTTTTTTTCATCGTTACCTTGGGGATTATTTCACATTTGTTATCATAGGCTTAATTCAACAAGATCCACAGCAGATGCCTAGTTTTAAGTATATTAGCGTCTTCAGTGGCATGCTCGCTATTGGATTTGTGCTAACGTACCATCTTAATCGTAACTAAGTCTGTGCTTTGCAAGAGTCCCTGGGTCTGTTTTTCTCTAAACAGAAATCATTAGGGTTGCACAAAAGGTCTAACTTTTTAAAATAATGCTTTGAGTGTGACGGTTACTAATGGAGAAAAAAAAAAAGAAAAGATGGATTTTAAGCTGGTGTTTGCCCTCCCCGCAGTGGAGAAGCAGCAGCCCGGCTCCTGCGTGGACCAGCTCCCGCTCTCCTCCCAGCTGAGTGATGGGTGAGTGCCGGGAGCCGGACCGGGGGCTCTCCCCGGTGCATCCCATCCCTGGGCACCCGCTGCCTTCTGGCTGTATCCCGGCTCTGTGCTGTCACCCCCCCCCCAACCATTTCTGTCCGAGACCTCTGGGTGGGTGGCAGGAGGGATGCGCTGCCCTCCGTCCCTCGGTGGCAGTGCTCTGGGGACAGGGTCTGCACCTGCTCCGCAGACCGAGACAAAGCTCAAAGGCGATGCTCAAATTCAGGGGAAGAGATACTGTAGAAACTTTATTTCCCCTCCCCAAAAATTGAAACCGGGCACTGAAGCCCTTTACCGTCGGCCTCTTTTCCTGAGTAACAAGTCACAGGACAAGAGGAAACAGCCTCAAATTGAACCAGTGGAGGTTTAGAGTGGATATTAGGAAAAATTTCTTCACCAAAAAGGGTTATCAAGCATTGGAAAAGACTGCCCAGGGAAGGGGTTGAGTCACGATCCCTGGACATATCTAGCGGTGGTTTTGGCAACTTAATGGTTGGATCGTAAACGTCCTTTCCAACCTGGACTGTTCTGTGATTAACGGGTACCATTATTATTTCTGACCCTTTTTTACAAAACCTCATGCGGTTTGCGGTCATTCACAATGTAAAACTAAGGTTGATTCCTTTCATTCTTTTTTTTTTTTTTTTTTTAAATCATTCAGAAAGCAGCAGAGAGCCTCCATAAGCTCAGAGGAGAACGACTCGGAGCGCACCAGCCCGGTGATGCTGGAGAGCGGGCTCCTGTCCCCCCAGAACAAACCCCACAGAGGTACGGACCCTTCCCCTTCCTTCGGGGCGCGCTCTGCGGGTGCCGGGGTACCCCCGGCCTGAGCTGCACGCTGTCTTGCAGGCTGGCCAGGAATGTCACAGTCCCTGGAAATCTGCGAGGGGCTGGAGGAGTGGTCGGGTAACCAGTACCTCTCCAACTGCTCGGACACCGAAGAGGAGGATGGGAACCAGCTGGTTAGTACAGAGATGCCATAGTCCCAGACGCGATAGTCCCAGAACTCGGGGTGCTGCCGGTTTTGGTCATCTCGCTTTGTTTTGCTTCACTGGATAACAGACATATTTTGTGCATGCCTCCCAGATTTTCCGTATCTCAATTTTGGAGACACAGTTTCTCGAAATAATTTTAATTAAGGTAGCTGATAGGGCTCCGTCACGTTCCCTGCGGCAGTCAGAAATGAGAGCTGCGTGATACGATATGTAGCTAAATAAGATAATTTTTTTTCTTGCTACCACAGTCTCCAGGAAAATACACAGCCCTTGCGGACTGCAAGAGGAGAGGATCAGAAGACCTGCTGGTGAAAAATGGGGATGAAATTCAGCTTTTGCATGAAGACGGTGAGGGACAGTGGTAGGTATTTTAGGATTACTTTGCCTTATCTCTCAGAGCCTGCAAGGCAGTCCTCTGCAACCTCGCCTGCTGGCGGTACCCCCGTTGCAGCTCCTGATTAAGTTTTAGCGTGTTCCAGAAAGCCGGAGAATTCGTTCTCTTGCCAAGACTAGAGGCTACACGCACTGGCTTGGCCTGAGAAACCGTGTCAGGACTTCCCTTGCCGTGGGCGAGCTGTGTTTTACCGAAATCTTCGCAGCCCCTCTTGCTGCGCTCTTCCCGCTTCAGAAGATGCTTCAAGTGAGCGCTCTTTGCCCGCCCCAGCTCAGCTGCTGGCTTTCTTCCTCTGGGTTTATTAATAGCAATATTAAGTAATTGCGAGACATTTTCCTCCCTCAAACATGTGTTAACTGGCTGATGGCTGCGGACCAGCTTTCTGTTGTATTTAAAGCTGTGGCTCGCAAGATAACACTTCACAGCCAGTTGTCCCCCCTTGCCTGGGCGATCGCCCGACCCAGCCTCCTGCCTGTTGAACCGTTAGTCTCGTTGTCTCGGAGGGCAGCGTGCCCTCTTTGGCTTTTTACAGCTGTTTGGCAGAGATTTCTGGCTGTCTTTCCTTTCCAGGTTGATTTGTGCCGCCAGCCAGCCCCGGGGTCTCAGTAGGAAGGAGCGCAGCAGGCTCTAAAGCCTGGCTGGGGGTGCGGGAAGGGTGATGTTAGCGGGGACCCGGATCAGATTTGAGCAGGCACTAGCCCCTACACGCACGTACCCCACAGAGGATTCCTGGCCGACATCTACAGCCCTTGCATTTCAAGGGAAACTCGGCTCGTTGGTAGCAAAAGCGAGATGTGAAGCACGTCAGTTCTGCTGAGCGCTCCCCACCTCTCACAGCCGTTTCGGCCAGTGCCAGGCAAAGATTTCTCACACCAAAGTTCTTTTCTTAGCGCAGATGTCCATGCATGAGTGAGACGGAGACATGTCGTTCGTGAGCATGAGTATGTCCAGCTGCCTACATCTTGTGTTGAGACTTCTTATTGACTGAATTCACCCTACCCGTCCAGCTTAGTGAAAGGGGATTGAGGAAGGTAATTGTCCTTGGCTCCATCGGTAGTCAGCGGAGGGAAACTGGCACCTCTGGAGAGCAATGCAGGTCTCGGGCAGGATAACTCTTGCTCTGGCGAGTCTTGTTCCTCTCCATTGAGGAGAGAGCTGTGCTCCCAATGTAGGCTTTTTAATTAGGTTCCTAAAAGTAGGTGGGAAGAATACTTTAAATGCATGGCCAGCTCCTGTTACGATGCTCCCCTGGTGTGAACAAATTGTTGGTTGCAGCAGCACTTGTGTAGAGTGTGCCCATGTCAAACTGCTCCCGCCTTGGTTCGGTTCTTTTACTAATACCGTTGTCGTTCAAAGGTTGGTGAAAAACCTAAACAGAAGAAAAGAAGGCTGGATTCCTGTCCACAGTCTGCAGATAGTAGTGGGTGACTGCAGATTTCGGAATGCCAAAGTCGCAGGTATCATATAGCACGCCTAGCAGAAATATTGCCTAACTCCAATCAGGTCTTTTAAGCCATTTGCATTACACTTGATGTACTAAATCTGGCTGCGTATGCCTCTGCGGGGAGAAAAAAAAAAAAGCAGAAAGCAGCTACTCCCAAAAGCCTGCAAAAGTAGTAAATTAAGCTTTTTTTTTTGTTTGTTAACACCTTTAGACATTTCTGTGACTTTAGGCACTAGTAAATTAAAACCAAGCATTTAAAAACGTAGATTTCTTTGCAAGAGCACTGGGTAGAAGATCGGGGAGAAGAGACGGAGTCTGATGAGGGATTCCCGGGACTGTTTTGCCTACCCGCTGCTGTAGCTCAAACCCCGTGCGAACAGGAGGCATCTGGGCAAAACCCCCCTCCGGCTGCAAAAGACGTCGTGGCCCGACCCCCGCCACTCTAAAGGCAATACTCCATTCCTGCAGCCTCGCTCTTGCCCTCCTCGCTGCCTGCTCGCTAACCCGTCGTTAGAATAAAGCTTATAAACAGGTCGCCAGGCTTCGGCAGAAGGCTTCTAGTCTCAAAAATCATAGTTCTCATTTTCTAGCTGTAAATGTAGATAGAAATAGGTAGGGAAGCGTAACAGGTGACACAAGATGCCTTAAAGAGCAGCCTGCCGCCCTTGCCCTGTATGCAGCATCGCCGCTCCATGCGTTGCCTCATCACCATGCCGTCCGCGGGAAACAGGAGACCAGGGTTTGCGATGGGAGCAGCTCAGGGAACCCACGTAGATGTAGTCCGTTCCAAAAAAAAAAGCAAAAAAAAGAATACACCAGTTACGACCATATGAAGCAAATTTTGCAAGTAGATTTCTTTTTAAATACTTGCTTTTTGTCAAAATCTATTGTTTTGATGAATATGAAGGAGGCCTTCTGAAAGGCTTAAAATTCCAGTCAGCTCCGGGTGGTTTTCCAGTATTTTTCAGTGAAGTCCTTCCTGTACAGGAAGGCATTTGGGTTTTTTTAATCCCTTTTGTTGCAGGGCAGTCAGATTGGAGAGGTTGGAGGTGTAGTGACTTTGCGTGAGGGGTAGCTGGCAGCGGGGGAGCAGCAGAGCTGAGAGGTTCCCCTGGGCGAGCTCCCACCCTGGAGCACCCTGCCTTAGTTTTGGGTTTGGTTTTTTTTTTTTCAGAAAGTCTGGTTATCGCATCTCGCCGGGTCCTGGACCGCAGCCTGGGCGGGAGGTTTCTCCAGCCATAAATGCAGCCTGAAAATAGGGTGCCGGCAAACTTTGCACCCCGGTTTGCTTTGTCAGTGGGCATATCCCCCAAAGCCTCGAGACTCGCAGCTCCAGGCTGGTTCACGGAGGTGCTGAGTACAAACTAAGGAGAATTTCACAAGGCGAAACCACAGAAAGCTCCTCCCGTAGGTCTCACAGCACTGCCCGGGCGCTTTGCAGTCGTGTTGCCGGGGTCTAGTCGCAGCGCTGCGGCTCTGTTTTCCCTCTGAACGTTAACTCTGTTCCCTCTCGCTGTTGCTGATGGTGCATGCAGTCTCTAGGCGTGATTCTAATTTTACGTGCGCTCCAGGCAGTGTTGTAGGATGCTGTAGGATGTTTCCTTGCTGTTTCCTGGAGCTATTCCTAGAGCTTTTCAGTGACGTGTCCTTATAGCCATAACGTCCCTGCACTCTGAAAACTGATTTGCAAACAGCACCTTTGCATTTAGCAATTCCCTTTCCTCTGCAGACTGGTCGTTTTATACTGCAGGTGACTTTGTACCCCTGACTGCTCGGGGGATGCAGTCTGGATTGGGCTCTTTTCTGCTTCTTCAGAAGATGGAGCTCTTGCTCCGATGTAGCAGAGGGAGAATGAGGCAGCCAAGCTTGTACAGCAAAGTGGAGGCAGGAGGGAGCACCATAACCCTCACATATTATTAGTTGCTTGAGCTGAAATGCTGTTTTGCGGGTGAACAGGGTAAACTTGATTTACGTGTTGTGGGGTCCCCAAGAGCGCGGAGCGTGCGAGAGTCGCTTTAGAGGTGGGGGAGAGGCAGTCCTGGCCCTTTGCGGGGGTACTGCCGCTGTTATTGCTGGGCTCCAGCTCCCCACAATGAATAAAAATGTAGCTCCAATCACGGAATTTCTTAACCAGAATTCATACAAATCTTGGGTTTGGGTTTTTTTTTTCAGTGCAAAGAATCACAGAATGGTCAGGGTTGGAATGGACCTCTGGAGATCATCTAGTCCAACCCCCTGCCCCAGCAGGGCCACCTACATGGATGGACGGAATGGATGACGTGGTTCCCTTACCTTAACATTTTTTCTTAGATTTATACCTTGGCCCTAACAAGAACCTCCCACCACAGGATGGCTGAAACCTACATACTTCCAAGCTGTTCCTCTCCCCTCCTGCTCATTAGTCCAGCGTTGAGCCAGTACAAATCATAATGAAGTTACAGGGAAGGTTTTGTTGCCCGTTTTAAGGGGTCAATGCCCCACGCCCCTACCATTGCCAGCTTTGCAAATCCCCCGTCCTGCGCCCGGCCTCCGAGGGAGAGCTGACGTGCAGTGCTGACCTTGCAGCACCCAAACGAACCCACAGATGATTTTTCTTCCTTTCCTCACGTGGCTGCCGAGGTGATTTTCCTTGTAGATGAGCGGTGACTATTGGCAGTGCAGTGCAACTGTTGATAAAGGAGTGTTTTGGTCCAAATCTTCTTTTGCAAAGGTACGCATGGGGGAAACCTTATTAAACTTTTTGTAAATCTTGGCCTGGGTGTAAGGCAGGAGGCTTTTGGGGAGGAAGATGCCTGGTTTGGAGGTCAGATTGAAAACCAGTTTTCCCTCTGGTGTTCCTCTAGCTATAATTTCTGAGATTAGTCCTTGCTGCTTTCTTCTGAATGAATTTATTCTGTCTCCTGTGCCAATCCCTGGTGGATGGTTTTTTTTTTTTTTTTAATGTGTGTGCTGGAGAAGTAGTTTCGTATCGCAGGTGATAAGGTGCAGATCTCAAAACGGGAAAGGTTTGGAGAGAACTCTGCTCAGAAAAAGCAATATTCAGAAAATAGCTACTCTGAGATTTACCCGTGTGTTGCTAGTCTCAGCTGCCGTGCCGAAGCGGTGAGGCATTGCCTGGCCCATTACATGCGTTAACGAGGACTGGTCCCTCGTGCAAGATGCTCATCGCGGGAAAGGTGAGGGCTGCAGCGTTCCAATCCCAACTCCTCTTCCACGGTGGGGCAGGAAAGAAAACGTTTCTGAGTCCCCCGGCTGCTAACGTGCCAAAGATCATGATTTACGGCATCGCCAGCGCCTGTGTCGGTGAGGGGAAGGTCATCTCGCCCCTCAGCCGAACTGCAGCACCCGCTGCGTGGCCAACGGGGAGGGAAGGGAGGTCCTCACCGTGACCCAGAGCAGATTCCCAGCTTGTTTCGCCTCAGTGACGCAGTGCTCCTCTCCCGCCTCCCCTCTCGTCCAGGCTGAGCTTTGTCCCCGCTCCTCTTCTCTCTCTGCGGTGGTAGATGCGAGCCGAAGGAAGCGTGGTGTTTGCTCCCAAATTTTCACATCAGAGCAAAATGGGGCCAAAAGCATTTTCGGCTTTTTTTTTCACCCGACCTTCAAATTCGGGCAGAGAGAAGGGCAAGTTTCCCATCTCCCCTCGCTGCCTGGAGGTTGCGCGAGACTGGTTTCTTTCAGAGGGAGCACGAGATGGGGTAGCCTGAATAAAAAAAGGGATTCACATGAAAAATGGAAGCAGTGATAAATGCCTTTACTTATTATACATGTAAAAGAAATATTGCTACACCTTTTGAGCTATTTTAAACAGAAAAAAAAAAAAAAAAAGTGGTACACAGAATGTGACTTGAGCCCAAAGGCAAGGAGCGCTCAGAGCAGGCGTGGAAGGATGCTCTGTGCCGGGGCAGGCGCACGCACCCGCTCGGTTTAAGGAGGATGCAGGCTCCTGTTCTACACGCCAGACCCTCTCCCAGTTCGTTTTAACACCCCGCTTGCCAAATTCTCTCTTCCAAGCCTTAAGAGGATCCCCCTGTTTGTGCTTTTCATGCAATAAAGCTGAGCAAAGGTTTCTCCCGCTGGTCATGCCCGAAGGACTGAGCTCATGTGTCCTCTGCTCCTGCTGGCCAGGGCGGCGGGGATTGTCCTCTCCTGAGCTTGGGGCAACCCTTTACGTGGCTCCCTGGGCCACCTGGCTTGAATTTGCCCGATGAGAGTACCGTACGTGACTGAGCTCTTGCAGGCTGGCGTAAGCATGTTAGCTGAAACGCGCGAGTTTTGTCGAAGTTCTGTTTAAAATGCCACTTGTAGCTTCGCAGATGCAGCCCAGCTGTTTGCACTATTACTCACGCACTTTAACGATTGCAGCCGCAGGCTTTCCTATTTATGCAGGGTCTATTAAAGGTGATGTTGATTTGAATTTTTTTTTGGCCTTTGAAATGTAAAGCAGGGTCTCCTTGTACAACCTGCCATGCCAGCCGGCTCCTCTGTAACGCTGTAGAAAACCTTTTTGAGCCTGACGAAATAAGGAGCCTAATAAGCGAAATAAGAAGGTATCAGCTGGCCGTGCTGTGGTAATCAAGGGATAGGTGATGGAAAGGAGTCAAACCCTGTGGTCCTGCCTTAGACGAGGCTCTCGCTGAAGCTAGCGGGAGTTCGGCTTTTAGGGAGAACTGCAGGAGTGCACTTAGTATTTTTTTTTTTTAATGTTATACAAATGTTACGTGATTACAGGGAACAATGTATTTCTTGGAATAAGATGCTTTAATATTAACATCATTCTTCATTACTTTATAGATGCTGCCCTGTGTAACACGAGAAAGTTTAGTTCCCCTTGAATTAAGGGTGAACTAGTAGCATCCTATTTTCGATGCTCTTTGGAAGCTTTCATCTAAGTGTTACAGAGAAATAGCACAATAGTTGGAGTTGTCCTGTACTATTCATCACATTCACAGACCTCCACAGCTTCATCTGCACTGAACGGGACCGGGGTCCTAAGCAGCTTCTCATAGTCATAAAGGAAGCCATTCTCTGCTCTTTCTTTTTTTATTCCTGTGGAAAGTACAGTATTTTATTCATTTTACCTGCTGCTTTTCCATGACATCCATCACGTTTCATCAGCGAAGTACACTACAGTTTTCCTGACACTTTGTTTAGATGCCTGAAATTTCCTCTGCAGGTTGAAGGCTTAACCTATTTATTAGCTGACAACTGTTGAAGTTGATTGCAAATAAAAGAGTTGAGTTTTGGTAAACCAAAAAAAAAAAAAAAAAACCAAACCAAACCCACAAACCCAACACCACAAAGAAGCTGTATGTCCTGCTTAATTGATTTCATGGATGGATTTTTCTTAAATATCTCCTTCAGCTATGTGAATGTAATGTTCTGTAAGAGCATCAGCCGGCTGACTCACACGTGAAGATGCAATAACGCTAAAGATCCTCTTTTTGCACTTAGGATCTGATTCCAGCCCATTGCAGTCAGTCCCGTTGATTTCAGTGAGGTTTGGATCAGGTCAAACTGACAACTCAGGGTTGTCGCCAATCACTTAGGGTCCCAAAGTGTCCCAAGGCTGAAACCTGTATCTAACAAGTGTTGAAGTTTACATTAAACGTATGTACTTTTGGAACACGTGCCATAAATCCAAGTTAAATGTCCATGTTTGCACTAAGGATGTTCTTGTGATAAGACTGTACTTTTCAGCATCTTTAACACTAATGTATCTATTGAATTTTTGAGACTGAAGGAAGACTATTGAACACTCCCAATTTAATTTTCTGTTTCTTTGTCTAGTTTTGCTTTTGTAGAACATAGGTAGAGGTGGTTTGACTTTTAAGCAGATGTGTGCAAAGAGCATCTGACTGTGTTGAGAGCGGGGTTAATAGTATGCATGCGGTAGTGAATTTGCTCTGTCCCGTCAAAATGAAACGTTTTATACCGTGGACTGAAGGGGGACCTTTATGATCTGATTTTGATTTGTGAACCATGGATTCTTAGACACAGTCCCAAGTTGTTAAGTTAAAACATACTGGGGTTTTGTTTTGTTTTGTTTCGTTTTTTTATTTTGTGACCATTTTTGTACGGAGGAATTGTTGAACTACATGATGGCAGTGGTTGCCAGGGGGGTTCCCCACCCGGCTGGTGGGCATTTCACCAGTTCGGGTGGCCAGTATTGCAGATAACCCCAGTACACCCTCAAAACTGTGACCAGCTGAGTCTGACCCGAGTAATGCTGCAAGACCCAGAAAAGTCCCAGTGTTCTTCAGCCACGGGCAATCACAGCAGAGAGGTTTTAAGTCACTGAAGGTTATTTCCCTCTACTTTAGAACTGGTCACAATGCACTTGGTAGGTGGAAAAGTAGGAGTCTCTTAAGTTACTGTCGGGGCTGTTTATAGTGGTAACAATTCTTGTGGTAACAGTACACATTTTGAGGTACAACTGTATATATTCGTCTCAAGCATAGCACACATTGCATATCAAACGGTTTTAATCTTTTTTGTCTTCCATGGTTTTAAATCTAAGCTTTTATTAATTTATGAGGTTGATAAGTTCTGCGAATCTGAATGTACAGTCTGAGATTTTTAACATTTGAAACTTTGCACACGACATGGTATGTTACCTTAAGTATGCTGTTGAAATAGGCTCTTCATGTACATGTATAAATTACAGTAGAGAATTTTCTCTGACTGCAAGTTTAAATGAAATATATTGTATATGTACCTGTAAAAAAATGTGTTAAATCTATATTTAAAGATTAAAAACTTGTTAAATAAATCCATATGAGAATATGCAATTCTGTCCACCAAAGACGCCTCTGCTATAATTCTAGAGAAAAAAAAAAAAAAGTTCACAGCGTTGGTTTTATTGAATTTCTTTGGAACAAATATAACCTTTTAACATGCATTTTGATTTCAAAGTAAGCAGTGACAGATGATCCGATTAGCTTCTTGCTGGATGTAGGGGCAATGAAATTGGGAGAGGCACCTTCACGCTCACGCTGACGTCTGAAATAGCAGCTATTGAAATCCTGCCCTGGCTCAGGGTGTCTCCATCACAAGCCTGCCCTGCATCCCAGCACGTCTCCATCACCAGCCTGCCCTGCATCCCAGCGCCGGGCAGTGCTGCCAGGGAAGGAACCTCTGGGCTGGGGACCACAGGGGGCCGTGGGGGCATCAACAGCTCTTTTGCAGGTGGTGTGGGGGGAGAGGTGGTCGTGGGGCCACATCTCACCAGGCATGAAGGAGGAGAGCCCCCCGGCTGTGGGGTTCTGCCCCTGGGGACAGGCGGTGGTCCTGTGCGCGGTACCTGCGGTGTGGTAAAGCCTCACGGGGTGCAGTTCGCAATGGCCATACCATTTCCCGCTGCACCCCTGGGGTTTTCCATGGAAAGAGATATGAAACGAACCAGCACTCATCACAGGTAAACCTCCCTTCCTCTGGGATTATTCCTTTCCCTTGAAGTTGGGAACCGAGTTCAGCCCACTGGAGACAGCCTCACACAGGACCTCTTCCCAGCATCGCCTTTCCCCAGGAGATCAAGCGCAATAGAAAGATAATAATTAAGAAAAAAACTAATTTGAGTCACTGGAATGATCTATTTGACTGTTTCTTTCCATGTGAAATGTAACTCTGACTTTTTGAAGGGCTTGTGTCAGACAGGAATACATTCTCATCTTCACACTACCGTAAATCGGGTTATATTTCACTGCACAAAATTGCATCGGACTGGTGTCTAATCCATTGGGAACTGAGCCCACGTGCACAATTATAAATATGTATGTATGTATAGTTTCTATACAGTTTGTTTTTTCTTTCAGTACTTTCAAATTAGTGATTGATTTGCTGCCACCTCCCCTTCCCCGTGCCCGGGTGCCCGTGCCCACCCCGGGCAGGGGACAGGCAAGGTTTCCGCCACCCACTCAGGTGTCCCGTGCCATCTGCGCTCTGGGGACATGCCCCAGGCTCAGCTGGGGAAGGCAATGCTCCATCTCCATCACCACCAGCAGTGCCCGTGACCGCAGTCTCTAATTTAACACGATTAATACAGAGATGAGGACAGGTAATGAGCACTAAGCAGTTCTCTTTATAATCCTAACAAGACTCCGCAGAAATCATTCGCGTAAAGCCCGCCACTGCCTTTAGATGAGTTTTATACAGATTTTAGGTCATTTATACAGCCAATTTTATGCAGTCCTAAAGCAGGAGGAGCATTTTCTGCAGCCCGCGATCCATCTCAGCCTGGTTCACGTGAAAACATTGGCTGAGAGCGCTGCGGGCGCAGTGCTTCGTGTGTTCCCCTCCCTCGTGGGCTCCTGCTAGAGGGACCGTGCTGGATGCGGGTGCCCCATGATGGTGCTGGGCTCCCCTTGCCAGCGGTGCTGTGCCGCAGCTGTGGGCAACACCGATGGCGTGATGGCCCCTGCGGGGCATGTGTGAGCCATGCCCCAGCTCACCCACACCAACCTCTGCAGTCGGGATTTGGGGACTGACTTACACCATCTCAGCAGCGCCGGTGCGTTCAGGAATGCAGTCACGGGTAATTAAAAGGGCTTTTTATTTCCTTACTGCCACATTTCCACTGTGTTCTCTCAACTTTTGCCTTCCAAGAGCAGAAATCAGTTCATTTAAATTTTTATTAAAACGCAACGATTTCTGAAAAACACGCAGCGATTGCTTTGGTGTCTCTTCAACGGGTCTGTCCCCAACAGCACGGCGTAACCTGCCGGTGGTTAGGTAAGCCTCGTGATTTCCTTTATCCACTTCAGGTACTTGGAGACCCTGGTGTAGATGCCGTATTTGCCTGGCTTGGCACATTCCTCGCCCCAGCTGGTGATGCCCGTGAGGAACCAGGTGCCCTCGATCTCGGTGGTGTAGGGACCTCCGCTGTCCCCCCCGCAGGTGTCACTGCCCCCAGCCGGGAAGCCGGCGCAGAACATGTTCTGCAGGATGGTGGTGGAGGTGCTCTTGAGGCAGGTCGGCCGGTCGACGAAGGGCACCTTGAGGATCTGGAGGACAGTGGCCGGCCGGCCGCGGAAGATGGGGGTGACGTAGCTGTTGAAGATGAGGGGCCGGTCCAGCTCCAGCAGGGCGATGTCGTTGTGGTGCTTGTTGATCGTAGCGTTGTACGTGGGGTGGGGGAGGATTTTCACCACCTTACGCCGCTGCTCCGTGTTGTCTTCCTCGTTGGTGTTGTATTCACCTGCAGAGAGAAGTGTGGCTTGGGCTCCACGGCCGGACCAGCGCCCGTGCCCTGGTGATGCCATCCCGATGCGATACCACCCCGCTGGGTGGCTGCAAAGGGATGAGCACCGCACGCCCCGGCCCTGGGGATGCTCCGAGCCTGGTGCCACCGGGGCTGCTTGCTCCTCCTCAAAGGGTGTCGGAGGCTCCGCAGCACCTCCTCGGTCCCCGCAGCCGGCAGGACCCGGACCCCCAGATGTGACAGCGGGCACGCACCGGCCCATCGAGTGCCAAAGGTCCCGATGCTTGTGCCAAGGTTAGTAGCAATGTGGGTGCTCTCGGTGTTTAGCACCCTCAAAGAGAGGTGAGGGGATGTTGCCCTTGCATCAATGCGGGGAAAGCCCCTAGAATTAAAAATCTTTCTTTAATATAAACCATTTAGTAGCGAAAAGGAACCTGACCTTCCCTTTTGCAAAACCACACAGCCACAGGGCAGAATGGGGCACAGAGGGCTACAAAATACACACACACACACACTCCCCCCTCAATGCTCACAGGTGCCGCTGGGTCTCGTTTGCCCTCCTGAGACTCAGCTGGTGGCGATTGCAGATTGCAGGGTGCTGCTGGTGGCTGCCGGCTCCCGGGATTGAGTTGCCGGCAGCCCATTACCACCCCTCCCGGCTTGTGTAACAGGTAGAGGGGAAGGGAAAACGTCCTGTGGTCTCAGGTTGGCAAACAGGCAGCGTTTGGGGCTGTCTGTAGCCAAATCCCCTCTCCTGCCTGTGTAGCTGAAGGCTCTCGAGCAGGATGACTTTTCCCGCTTGCTTTCTCGCAGCCCGAGAGTCTGAGGGCGCGTTTAACCCCTGCTGCGGCGTCGCTACACGCTTTGCTGTAAGCTCCAGAATGCACGACCTGCTCTAAACAATATCTGCAGCGCTCCTGGCCCCGGCAGTGTCCTGTGTGTGCGCGCTGCGTCTGCCTGCGAGGAGCGGCACGGAGCCCCGCGAGAGAGGTGAGGCGGCTTTCTGTGTTCACGGGAAGGCTGGCGCCTGATGAAGGCGGCTTTGGTGGCTGGTGCTGCTGATGTGCGCTCTGCGGGGTTGGTTGTTTTGGGTTTGGTTGTTGGTTGTTGTTTTTTTTTTCGCAGCGGTGTGTGAATGTCAGCTCCTTCGCAGGCTGTGTTTCTACAGGGTAAACGTGAGACAGATGTGGGGGAGACTTTTGGAAGGGTTTTTTTCATGCTGCCGCTGCTTACTATTGCTGGGGACCTGAAAATATGCTTCAGGGATGGAAGTGGAGAGGCAAAGAAGGATAGGGGAGGGGAATGCTTCTTCCACACACGCCCCCCCCGCTATTGATTTTTGGGCCTCCTAGGATGCTATGTACAGAGCTGAACGTTTAGCATGAACGGCCGTGAAGGGATCAGATGTTGCCCGGGCAGTGTACGTGGTGCAGGCACACGCTCAACGGTCCCTGAAGCCCTGCAAAATCGTGTTTTGCTTCCCTGACTTGCTGCCTGGCCAAAATCCTGCCCTGGAAACCCAGCGGTGCTGCAGAGCGGTGTGAAGGCACCGTGAGGGGAGCTGGCTCATAACATCCCCGAAATGGAGAGAAGGGGAGTGACATGCAGGAGAGAGCCTGAAAGGAGAGGCAGTTTGCATGCAGGTGCAGCAAATGCCAAACCTCTGTCCATGTGGAGACGTGCTTTTCCAGGGGGAGACTGGTTTTGCCCAGGGTATTTTGTGCTTTCTCACGCTAGCGGGTGTAAGGCTGGCCTTTGCCCTGGGCTTTCCAGCAAAACTGCCTAAAAGTAGATAGCAAAGAATGCTGTGTGCGAGCTGTGAGCATCATCCTGCCAGCGCGGGGCAGGCGGTACCCAGCCCCACGGCACTCAGCCCCCAGGGTCCCGCCGGGCCCAGCCGGGAGCTTGGCTGCGCTAAGATGGAAGGTGAAGATGCAGCTGGAGCCTTCTTGATGAACTTCATTCTGTAGATATGAACTCGGTGCTTCGAGGCTCAGGTAGAACGCCATTTTTGTCACTAATACGTTTCGTAGTGTTTCAACAGAAAGCGTGATTCTTCCACGCCTCCTCTCAGTGCTGGTTGTAGCAATCGCTAACCGTATCAGTGTTCCCCTCCTGTTCCAGATAGTCATATAGGGGAGAAACAAATAATTTGGGGAAACGTGGCACTGCGATGCTTGCCAAGTCCCCGCGCTGGGTTACCGGCAGGCTGCCTTGCCAGCAGCCGGGAACCACTGGGTACCAAAAATCAGGGGGAAACACTGTTTTTCAAGCAGAGGTTCATGTGTTTTGTAAAGTAGCAGCATCACTTGCTGTGCAGGCTGGCCGCACTGCCCCTGCCCAACTTCCCAGAGAGCCTCCTGTAAAATCACGCTTTCCCCCCTACCAGCCCGGTTTCTCTACTTCAATCCATAAATACTTTTTACTTCCAAAGAAGCTAGAAGCAAAAGTTGTCACCTTCTCCTTGCAAGGAGCTAGTCAGGTTACCGGTGCCCCTCTTGCACCAACCACACAAATCCATTCTCTGAGAGTTGCGTGAAAACTTAGCGTGACCCTCAAGAAGAGCAGAAATCCCCGGTGAGGTCCTACATGGCCAGTAGAGATAAAAATCCATCACACCAGCAGCACCTCAACTGAAGTCCGCCAGGCTTTTAAGCAGCCTGGGGTTCCCTCTGGCTCAGGTGAGCTCGCCCGTGGTCAGGTTGAGCTGTGTTCACAAGGTGGTCCAGCGGCTGCGTGGGACCAAGGCCGGACCCAGTGCACTGCTCCCACCGGAGGTGGTGGCACCTGCAAAGATCAGGCTGCCCAAATGCTGCAAGCTGCAACTGGGGCCTCGGTGCCCCAAAGCGACACGGGCCACGTTGCCACCCATCACGGTGGTGTGGGTCCCGGGGTGCTGTGCAATGACTCCTGCCTGGCCAGCCCTGTCCCACGTCCCTTGCCCGCGCTGGCCCGATGCCACCCGAGGTGCTCACCTGCCACTGCAGTGACATTGTCGCCTGGCTGCAGGCAGTGCGCCGCTGTCACTAACCATTTCTCGTTGATGATGGACGCGCCGCAGAAGCCCACGCCGTGGCTGTTCACCAGATGAATCTGTGGGAGCAGAAGGAAAGCATACCCGTGGGTTTGCGTAAATACGTGGGGAAGAAGAGTGGGACGTGGGGGATTTTTTGGGCTGTAGGACAGGCTGTGGTTAGGTTGTACAGACCTGATGCTGCTCCTCAGGGAGTCCCTGCCCTCCGTCCCCTGCTCTGTCGCAGAGGGTGGCAAACACTGCCAACAATAATAGTATTTTGCCAGTGACTGGATCTTAACTAGGGACAAAATCTTAACTGCCCATTTCGTTTGAGCATAGGATGAGGGGGAACGGCTTTAAACTGGAAGAGGGGAGACTTAGATTAGATATGAGGAAGAAACTGTTGCCTGTGCGGGTGGTGAGCCCCTGGGGCAGGTTGCCCCGAGAAGCTGTGGCTGCCCCATCCCTGGAGGTGTTCAAGGCCAGGTTGGACGGGGCTTGGAGCAACCTGGGCTGGGGGGAGGTGGCCCTGCCCAGGGCAGGGGGTGGCACTGGGTAATCTTTAAGGTCCCTTCCAACCCAAACCATCCTATGATTCTATGATCTAACTGCCTCAGCACTCATGGGGCACAAGCCAGGACATCCCTTATGCTAAAACTTCGAATTAAATTGATCAGCTGAGTCGGTGGGCTGTGTTTAAAAGAAGGATTTCTTCATAATTCGCCCATTTCGTTCCTTTTCACGTGAGGTGGCTGGTCACCGTCTGCCTGCCTCGTATTTTCCACGCATTTACTCGTTTGATGCCTAATTAGGCAGAGCCGCCTGCACTCCGAGGAGCTCCACATCCACAAGGAAGAGGATGCAGCTCGCCCACGGCCACGAGCCGCAGCCACGGGAGGGCAGCACAGGCTGCCGGTGGCGACCACCGCCGCCTCCGAGCCCCGGGCCACCCGTGTCCGTGGGTGCGAGTCTGCCCGTGGGGCAGCCAGAGAGGAGACGGTGACACGGTTTATAAAGCCCTTCAGTGGGATCTGAGCCCCACAAGCACCCCCACGCCCCAGGGGGAACGTCGCACCCCTCCTGGCTGCTGCCTGTATCCCAGCACGCTGAGCATCCTCACTCGCCAGCCGGCAAAAGGGCTACCGAGACTTTTTTCAGAGTGTGCCGGGGGAGGTAAAGGTCTCCATGAGCACAACCAACTAGCCAGACTCGGTGGGCTGGTAGCGTGTGAGTTTATTTGCTTCATGGGTGCTGGCTTCTCGTATTTAACTTTCTGGTTCTCCTCTTGCTCCTCCGTGACTGCACGGGGGGTGCCAGCATCGCCTATGGTTCGTACCACAAAAGGCTGTGCCAGAAAGTCCTCAAACCAGGAGACTTTGGGCAGCAGCATGGCCTCTTCCTTGCAGATGCAAAATGTGACATCTCAACAAACCTCCTGTTGCTGCTTCTGGTGGCCGTGTATGGCCCCAACAAGTTACTGGCTTTTTTAGCTCTGGGATGGAGGGCAGACGCCTGCCCCTGACCTCTCCACGTACGCCCTGCTCGCTGCTGTGCTCCCTCAGCAGACGTAGCGGGACCCGCTGACCTGTGTGAATGGGCATTTACCTCTCTGTGGGGGCAACTTTTCATGGACATCACCAGCGTCGGTCTGCGCCAGAGCTTGCCACAGAAAGAGATTTGCCAATCCTAAAACCTCATCTGAATTTATTATTTTGCAATCTTGGCCACTTCGGCGCTCAGTGCAGCCAGGGTAGAATTTAAGGGCAGTAGATGACTTTGAAAAAGATCCAAGCTAGGAGCTAACTCTCCTTTCAACAACAATTTAAAAGTATTTGAAAAGCGGTGGGTTGGAGGAGGTTTCTTTGCAGCCACCCCCTTGCCTGCGGTGTTGCTTTTGGTGAGGTAGAGATGATGCGGATGTCACAAGTTGGATAAAGAAAGAGCAGCTGGATTTGGTAGATGTCCTACAAGGACACATCCTTCGTTGGTATAAATTATCCTGGATCTGTTGAAACTGATGGAGCCAAAAAATGAGCTGCATTGTTCCTTGCAAAGCTGTGCCTTGCAGAGCCACCCTCCCTCAGCCTTCGGCTTAATTTTGGTAAATTCATGGACTACTGGGGAATCTGTTGCTATAGCTCAAACCGAGATCCTTTGTGCCCTGCCGGATAAAGCTGCTGTGACTCTGACTTCTAGGTTTTTTTGGCAGGGTAGACTCCCAACCAGGCAAGTTTTGTTGCTGTGACATAAAACTGCAGAAAGAAGCTGTGCCCCTGTTAGACTCGAGATCTGTTGTTAAACCAACCTCCGAGACGGGCTTTGGGTATGTAGAAGGAAGACAATGCTGCGTTCAGAAGGCAGTGAATAGAGTGAGCGACTACTGGGGTTACAGGAGAGCTGCAGAAACAGCCAGTACCTGCCAAGGCACCTCGCCTCGCATGCTGTCTGATCCCCCCACGACCCGGGTGCCCGTCTTAATTATCGGTGTGATTTTCGTGGTGGTGGCGGTGGCGGTGCTGGTTTCCGTGATGTTGTCGAGCTCCTCGTCGTGAGCATCATCGTGGTCGTTGGCGGTGATGTTCCAGTGCTCAAAGGTGTTGATGGCTCGGGTGAGCTTGCTCTTCGCCTCAGGAGCCGTGATCCTCCCACAGGGATACGGCACTGGGAGAGAAACAGTCACGGTTACGATTGGCTGGGCGTCACGCTGAGAGTTACAGCGATCGAAGGAGCAGGCGAGGAGGGAAATGCTGCCTCGTCTCAGCCCCCCGTTTTGGGAGCGATGTGGGAAACGCAGAGCCCCAGCGCGGGTGAAATGCCAGAGTAGCAAAAGCATAAATTGTCTCCGGGCTTCAGAAATGACACCCCAGCAGCTTTTAAAAGAAGAAAGCTTGTGAGAGAGAGCGGGTGTGTGATGGGAGGGTGCAGCTGTGCCTTCATTTCGCGGGGTGCTGGGGGCATACCCGGGGGTTTTGCCGCGGTAGGCAGCCGGGCGCTTGGCTGACATTTCTACAGCAAGTTAACTCCAGTACAATAAAAGTCCAGCTGGGAGAGAGCAGGGAATAATATCTGCCAATTGTACAGATAATCCTGCTTGGCACCAAGGTGAGGAAAACATTAATAAACTCTTTCTAGAGTTGTAGATTTTTCTCTGTTAATGAAGATCTCAACTGTAGGCTCGTTTCAGATGAGCTCTTTCCATTTCTCTCCTGCTCGCAGTCTGTCCCAAAATCCGGCTGATAGTGGCAGTCAAAATAGTAAATAGCATCAGGCATTGTCTTTCATCTGAAATGCTTTTGACAGCACTGTGCAAACAAACATTAGTGTAAAATCAGATGTAAGTGTGGCCTACTGAGACTTCTTTCTTTTTTTTTTTTTTTTTTTTTTTTTTAACTGTCCGCTTTAGGAATAGGGCTTAAATAAGTGTTGAGTGATGGAAAGCGCTACCTGTGAGGTTAGGCTAGGAAATAAAGGTTTCGGAGCCAACAAAAGCTAAGCTTTTACAGGAAGGGCAATTACCCAACCTGAAAGATGATCTTATTGCTAACAGTAAAACTTTCTGGTCCAGTGAAAGTGATACAGCATGTTGGGCAACACAGGCCTGAGCTCTTCATGATCTCTGTATTAACAGAAGGACTCTCAACCTAAGATACTTCCTACGCCGATTGCTGAAAGTCAGCACTTTTAGGAGCTGCAAGTGCTCCAGACCTTCGGAAGCTAACTCAGCCTGCGTGCCAGCATGCCAGCTTGGGTGTGCAAATCTCAGATGTTGGAAATATGACAGCATCGAATGTTAAATTGACCTTAGGTGATAAAATATTTCTCCACTCAATGTCCTCTTTCCTCTGCCAGATGCGCTTCTGAAATAGGTGTTCATGCCCAATTAACTGGCTGTGTTGCAGTGGGTTGGGATTGCACGTGTCGGCGTAGTTAGAGATATCGTACCAGCCTTGGAGGGGGGTGAAGTGGGGGGAATGTAACAAGAATCAGCTATTCTTTAGCCCTTTGCGAAGTTGCAACCTCAAGCAATGCACTTCCCCTCCACCCCTCTCAATACCACTGCTAAACCACAGAGTCTATTCCCCATTGAGGGTCTTTGTGTGCAGATACACATTGTTGGGAGGACAGCACCACCACAAAGCTTCATTTGTTTCCACCCAGCTTGGGTGATTATAAGACACTGCGTGATGGCCGGCTATGAAACAGACCATCAAAAGGATTTACAGTAAGAAAGATTGTCTTTTGTGCTGAAAAAGCCCAGAGCATCCTCAACGTAGGACCAGTAACTGAATAGTAGCCCCTATTGGAAGAACATGGAAGTGAGTTCTGGATGTATGGACACGAGTGTGTACGCTGGTGTAGCTGAACATCACATTTCTGCCTCCAGAAAACTGCTGATCCCTATCTAGGAATGTAAGATGGCTGCAAGTGGGAGAAGCGCCTGTGCGAGCAGCCATCTGAAACGAGCATTTGCCTTGTGAACAAATTCCCGGATGACTACCCTCCTCCTCCACCCACCTAGGCTAAAAAAAGGGTGTTTAAATTGAGTCCTTCAAGCCTGACCCCACATCTGCCGTTGGGAAAGCGCAGGGTCAGGCTCTTTACATTTGCTAGGCAGGAGAACAAGGGCTGGTCTCCAACAGGATATTGCATTTCTAGGAGATTCATGTACCTAAATCCGGGACAAGACCTTGGAAAGTTTCACCCAAATCTCTTAAAAACACTTTAAAAGTTAACCTGTAGGTTCACAGGACTTTCCATCTTCATGAAGTCTATAGCCAGCGGCGCAGGAACACACAACTTTCTGTGGCGGGTCATGCCTGCAAAAGTGCTTGCAGCCTCCGTTTTTAATAGCACAAGTGAAGTCTGAAAGAAATAGAAATGAAACTGTGAAAGCCCTTTTGAAATACAACTGCTCAGAGATTTGTTGGGACTTGGGCCTTTGCACTCAGCCTATAATCTAGTCTGGCTGTTCCAGACTACGGAAAAAGGGTGCTTGTTTGCAAGGAGAGTGTCCTCCTTCCAAATCGCGTCCCTGCTTGTAACAAAGGAGCGCCGGGCACCTCTTGGAGAAGGCAGGTTGAGGAACGGCCCTATGAGAGGTCCTGGCGCAGCCTCCTCCTGCCTCCAACAACTACGTGCTCTCTGAAATTTGGCAACCTGACCGTAAAGGACTCCTGCAAATATTTGGTTACGAGCCATGTGATTTCCCCACCGTCGTGCTGCTTTCCTCCCCCCGTGTGCTTACGGCAATGCAGCCCCACTGCGGATGCTCGCAGAGAACGCCGTGTGTCAGGTGGGACCAAACCCTGAACCCAAGAAGGGCTTTGTCCTGGGATCATCGCTGGGCTCTAAACTGAAAACCTCGAGCAAAGCCGTATGTTCATCCGGACATACCGATAAATCACCGCAGCCTGATGTGGAAAACCCATTTCAGGAGTATGTTTGATGAAACAGGTCCCAACCTGAGGCACGGCGAGATTCCCGTGACTTGTGTGTGCCTTCTCCCACCCCACCTCGCGCCCCTCTGTGGTGGGAACACCACCTCTTGGAGGTGGGAAACCACTAATCCGCAGACGCCCTTTTAATTCTCAGTGAGTTTTCAAACATCTTCACGGCAGATTAACTCCACTCCTACTTCCTCAAGGACACCTCCCTTCCTGTAGCCATTTTAATGCCATCATTTACTATTTTTACAGAGCTCCTTTTCACGCCTCACTTCTAGCTCTATTTTCGTTCCTGTCTCACTTCCACGAGAAATCTGCAATGAGACTATTTAAATTTGATGCAGCTTTGAAATGCTCTTTTTAACGTGCGCTCCTCTCTTGCCAGAGCAGAAGCACAACTAGAAAGAGAATCTTTTATTAGTGCAGTGAGTCTAGCACATTATGCGAGCCGCGCAGCCCCTGATTATATTATAAATATAAGAGCTGAATATCCCTCTTGCTTAAATTATCAGCTTGTTTGGATTTCGTAAACTCCTCAGCCCATCAGGAAAATATTTGCCTTTTGTTTGCCTTCAGAATCAAGGTTGCTGGGGATAATTATAATTATGAATTTTAGCGGAGTGCCGCTGAGAGGTGGTTGCGCTGATCCTGCCCCGCTCGGCACCCGCTGCCCGGCCTGGCGCGAGGAGCGGGGAGGAGGAGCGAGAGCGTGGGGGCCCCATCCGGGTGGGTGGAAAACTGTGGCGTTCGTTGGGTGAGCACGTCGTCCCCGGATTGACGAGCAGCCCCGCAAAGGCTCGTGCTGGGGAGATAAAGGAAGGTCTCTGTGTCAACATTTGCGCTGGCAGGCGCAGCGTGCTGAACAAAAGACCTTGAGCCTGAGTCTCCGTTGAACCCTGCGTACGAGCAGGCATCTCGGCAGAGGTGGAGCTGGGGCTCCACCAAGGACGGGAGAGGACAGAGACATCTGCTGCTGTATCCCCAAGTGTGTCCCCCTGTAACCCCATCGCCAGCAGGCTCAATTTGCACATCCATGCAGTGCCTGGCAGCAGGGCAACGTCTGTCCGAAAGAGCCCTCCAGTAGGATGAAGCTCTACGCTCACTTTGATCTGATGGGTTTTCTAGTAGGGCTGAACAACCACAGGAGGAGCCCCCGGTACATACCTATCTCACAGTTTCTGCCTTCATACCCAGCTGGGCACCAACACACGTAGGAACTCACTGCGTCCTTGCAAACGGCTCCGTTTTTGCATGGGTTGGGGTCGCACTGATCTCCATCTTGGAGAGAAGACAGGACAATTAACAAACATAAAGCATCCATCACAGCTTGTGCCGACCAAGCGCTAAAGCCTTGCTCCACGCAAGTCTCCTGTTACAGACCAGTGAGACTGCACACCTTTCTTCTTTGTGGTGGGAATTAAGTCAGCTCCTGGCACCCGCGTGCACAACAGACAACGTCAGCGCTGGGGTAACACCAGCAGCAGGGCTTTACCCACAGTCCGAATTATGTACCCCGTCCCATGTGAGTTAATTCCGCTCATTTCAGCAGAACTCCTCTTCAGTCTCCCTCGTGCAACATCTCAATAGGACCTCATGTCTTGGCTAAGTTAGACAGAGAAAGTTAGAAGGTTTCCTTCCTCAAGAGTGGTTAGGGTTTCCTAATCTGAACTAGTTTAACACTGCTGTCTTGGCTCTCTGAAGGTCTGGGCTGTTCCGCTTGGGTTTGGAGACCTCTCTGTGTATTAGGATTGAGACCTTCGGTCATTGCTCTTTTTTGCCTAAGTCTTGGACTGCTATTAACTGGTCTAGATTTTTCTTTATATGTCAGGGCTTTTATTATCACAGTCGCCTACAGCTGAGAAGCTGAGGCTTTAATAAAAATACCCGGTCTTGCAAAATTGGTGATCTAACACTCTGGAAGAGTCAAGTCAGTGACGTTAGATTACAGGGAAGTGCGCTTTGAAATGGGAACGCAAAGACAAGGAGGAAGGGGAATGCCTTCATGCGTTGTGTCCTGACGGTAAGTGTGGCTGTTAACAGTGCTATCAGGAATGGGCTGGAATGCCAAAGGCGGATTGCAAACAGGGACAAAACGGTTTTGTCTCATCGAAGGCATGGCGTGGGGGTGCGGGGTTGGTACGTAAGGTGCGGATCGCGACTGCTGTTGCCGCCTGGTGAGGGCAATGGGGGCTGGGTTCCACTTGGGTGCTGTGCGAGGGGTGAGCTCCCGCGGGGCGCACGTGTTGGGAACAGCAGCTTGTAAGCTGAGCAGTAAACCAGGGGAATGGATGACATTCATTGTTTTTTGAAGAGCTATTTGGTTACGGTGGCAGGGAAACAAACGCAGCGGTGAGTTTCATCAGTTGGCTTTCAGAGCACAGCCCTACAATGCAAATGTAACTTTTTTTTTAAAAAAAAAAAAATAAAAATTATAGCCTGGACTGAATAAGCTGAATTATTTAAGGCTTTTTAGTGAGATGTTCTGGGCACTTGGCCAATCTACAAAGCGGTTCATTTATTGAAATGTCCTTAAAATTAGTTTCAGATGTTTTAGTGGGCATTGAAACCTTTTTTGGTAAGGGACTGAGGAGTCGTTGGGGATGGAGGCTGAAAGGAGAAAAAATACATGGTAGAAAGAAACTGGTGGAGAAGCAATGGTCTGGGACCACCCGTGTGAGTCGCAAACAGCTGTTTGCTATGGTCACGTTGAGGCTCCGCTTTATTATGGCATTTCGAGGGATTCACGCTCTGCGTGCACGAGGCTGTGCCTTACCTGGAGATCTCTGCGAGAGAACAGAGCCTTTGCTGTTTGCTGACGGGGTGTTAATTATTGCTGATGCGTTTTACTTTATACCGCGGTTGCAACTAGAAGCCCAGAGTGTGACATGGGCTCAACAGATCCGGTGGTGTGGGTGAACTGGTTTTGTTCTGTGAGGTTTTTGAAGTTTGTTCAAAAAAAAGCCTACTTGAACAAAGAAAATGTTAAGTAATATTTTTTTGGGGGGGGGGGGTTGGCTTGCAATTTTTATATAAATGGGACAGGCCGAGGCTGGGTGGCTGCAGGATTTTGGGTGCATGACTCTGACTAGCTCTGTCATAACACAGTTTCTGAACGCTGGGATACGTTCGTTTTGATAAACATTTGCTGCTTATGCACTGAGAGATGACTACTATGCATTTGGACAAGAAGAAAGCAGCTCTTACCAATGTATGTTTTCCAAAACTCCATCTGCAAAGGGAAAAAGAAGAGAGGTTTCCTTTGATTTCCAATTTCTAGGCACTGCTTGACTGAAGTAGCAAAGGGATGATTCCAAAGATAAAGCAAAAGACTTGCAGGAAAACAGCCACCTCTGTAATCCCAGTGGTGACTGGCAAACCATTAAAGCAGGTCTGCGGCCCAAGTGGTGGATCCCAAATGAGAATAAAACGCGACAGATGCTGCACTTGGCCCCTGCAGGTTTTCCCCTTGCTGTTCGCCCCAGTGGCTCGTAGAGGCGCGGGCTGGGGGGAACGAGGTGTTGCCACTTTGTGGCGGCGATACTCACTGTTTTCTCTGTGTTTTCAAACACTTCTCGGGCTTCTTCAAAGCTGCATTTTTCTTCTATGCATTCTCTCTCGAGGTTCCCGGGAATAACCTCTTCCAGTCTGTTGGAATTGGCTCGCCTTTTCCTGTCCAGAACTGAGCTCGCCTCTTTGTTCTCGATGAAGACTGCGATTTGAAAAGAAATAGGGGGTAGAGAGGGGCACGGGCCGTCATGTGGTGTGGCTGGGATGGGCTGGAAGCACTCTGCTCTCCTCCTCATGCATTCACCCCCCTGCTGCCCCATGGCCCGGGATGTTTCAGGAGCGTTATCATCTACCTGAGGGTTCTTCGGTGTCTAACTTAAGTGCAATCCAGAGGATCAAATCTGGAGAACCCGGAGTCAAAGTAGACAATAGACAGAAATGACTGATGGTGACAGGGTGATTAGAAGCTCTGAAGTTTGATGCTTAAAATACCCTAAAGCAGATGGTGTGAGTATCTCCTATCATAGATGCATAGACCGGAATAAGCTATTTGAGAAGGGAAAATAATAGGCCTTTTCACACTGCTGCTTGTTAAAGTCTCGTTTGGGCACAGAAATGGTCCTGCTTTAACTGTTTCTGCCTTTTTTGGCTGTGAAAGACCATTTGCTTCTGCAAGCAGCTGTAGCCCTTGGAAGCCACGGGCCGTTTGCTTCTCTCCCGGCTCCTCGCCCTTGCCCATGCACCTGGGTACCACCATTTCATGCTGGCAGGAGTGTGACACGAGTCTTCTCACCCCCTGCGCCAGGTCATGTCAACAAGGTGGTGTGCATCCATCTTCAACTTGCTGGCCAAGCTCCTGGCCAGAAACCACCAGCAGAGAGGTGCTGGTGCTGCAGGGACCCCCAGTGTAGGCGGGATGTCCAGGGTGGCCACCAGCTTTCCCATGGTGGCTGCCTGGTGAAGGGCACAAGGACATGCAGTCCTGTCATGGTGCCACCTCCAATGCTCTCCCAGCAGGGCCACGCGTCCCATCGGCAGAGTCAGCAGCAGCCGCGTCCCATCCCTGTGACAACCGCCCAGCAGGGTTTGCTCCTCACCCACCTCTCGGAGACCCCCGCCTCTGCTGAGCACTCTTCCCCCATCCCACCGCTCTAAAAAAGGCATCATTCACCCAGAGGAGCTTTTTGCTTTGCCTCCCTAGCCTCTCCTCTCTCTCCACCCTCCCTTAGCGACCGCAGCCATGTCCCATTTTGTCACCAGATGGCACGGTAGAGCAGCTCTTCTTGGAGCTGCTGGTGGCCACCCTGGACACGGACCCTTATCTGGGGGCTCTGTGCTGGAAGGGGTCAGGCACCTGTGGACCTGGCCCCTCTGAGGGTTATGGAGAACATGAGCTCAGCCGGGTGGGCAGAGAGGAGAGTGAGGGACAAGTACCAGCCGCTCGTTCCTTCTCATGGCTAACTTCTGCTCTCCATCCAGGGCAGATCCCGGCCTCTCCGAACGCACGGAGCATCAGTTCTGTTGAACTCTGATGAGTCCCAGGTGGGTTGCTCTGATTTACGCCGTGCCACTGGCGGCGTAACCAGCCCCTTCACCTAAAGATCTCTCTGCAAGGGGCTGAGCTAATTGTTTTTGCAATGCTTTTAATCGTTGTGCAGCAAGTTTGCACCTCTGCCTTCCCCATGCTAGCGTGTTTTTGGTTAAAAATGAAAAGGAGTGCGTTAAAATGCTGACCTTAACCTAATTGCTTGGCAGTAGATATTGATGGGCGAAGCAGCGACCTCTGAAAAAGCCAGGCTTGTTTCAAACACCGCGGGGTGGCCAGTCCCCTCCCAGCTGCAGGGTTGTGGTTTATGTGTGGGATGTGAAGGTACACCCCCAACCCAGGCTCCATGGCCGAGCAGGGGGCTGAGAGCGTGGAGGCGCCGGGGGGGCACAGCCTCGCTGGAGGAGACCTGCCCCCTTCTCCCCATGGCATGGGCTGCAGCCTCCAGCTTGTCCCCAGGCCGGGCAGAAGAGGCTCAGGAGACAATGGTGGAGCAGCCTTTGGCCTTGTAACCCTGTCGGGCTCTCTGTGTGCTTAGCACCTGGGCATCCTGACGCGGGCACAGCCGCACATCACCCTGCGTGAAGTGAGGCAGCCGCGTTAGACCCTCTCCGTCATCTCTTCCCGGTGGGATGTGCCAGGCATCTGCCGTAATTAACCCATTTCATGGAGAGAACTCATTTTAATGAATGCAGCTTTGCCTCCCTCGGATCCCTCTAGGCTTTCTCAGTTGCTTACTGATCCCGCATGCTGCTTTACAAGCAAAACTTGATTAGAACTGAAGGTTGCAGGCCCCATGGGGTGACAGGCACAGTGCTCACCCTGGCTGGAGACCATCCTCACACCAAGAACATACTCGCACGTGACTTAGCAACTTCTGAACCAGTACCTGAGAGGGTGAGATGGGTCTGTGGACCAAGGGGCTGTGGGGGCAGACCTGTCCCACCAGCCGAGCGTGGTATCTTCTAGGAGGTGCACCTGGGTGGGTGGTGGTACCAATAGGAGGTTCTGCCTACTTTTCATTGCTAAGCAAATATTTTGGGAAGAGGCCCTTTTTTTTTTTTTTTAACCTGTTACTTGCAATGTTTGAATGAAAGGAGAAAGGCCAGCCGTGCGCCAAACAAAGTACTCGCGCTGGATGTGAACCAGCCTCTGCTGGAACTGTTGCTGCCACAGATAAATCAAGCAACAGCCTGCATTACTACGTGTGATTGCCTACATCCATCAACTGCTCTATCTTGTCTACAATTTTGGCTGCATCTTACAGTCTTTGTTAAATTCACGCTGGGTTTGGCTTTAAACAGTTCTCACAGTGGCAAATCCAATGACTGTTTTATGGATGTGAGCACTTGTTTGTACTCCAGGACAAAGCGGCGGCACACGCAGAGGTGTGGATGTTACTCCACCAGCGGCGCTCTCCCCTTTTTTTTTTTCCTTCTGTGTGTGGGTGCGTGCATTCTAAAATGGCTGAATCAAGCTCTGAAAGCTTAAAAGCTGCAAAAAATTTAAGAAAGATCCCATTCTTAAAATTAATCCTCGTGACACATTCTGCATAAAATCGGCATAAAAGCTATTATTTCGTTCCCAAGGAAAGAACCAGAGCTTTAAAGAGAGGAGCTATGAAACACAGCAATCCCTCTGAGCTCTCGTCTCTTACGTGACTGCACAAACTGTCCCACCATCAAGTGACAAACTGTCCCCTCACCTGTGCCAGTAAGCCCCCGCACCCAAAAGTGAAGGACTTGTTAGGTTTTAAACGAACCCACCTGTAGTTTCGGCAGCAAGACACGCTCCCAGAAGACAAACGGAGAGTACGAGGGGGATATTTGCCATCTTCTTCCCACTGCCCAAACCTCTCGCTAACAAATTGTTCGGGTCGTGGAGCTCAGTCAATAGTTCCAAAGTGCAAGTGCTTGTTTATTTATTCTGGGTAACCCTTTAATTTAAGGTCCCCAGATGTGCCATTGGTGAGGCTTGCAGTGGCAGCGTGGGCGCTCTATGAGAGGGCACGTCCGTGTGCAAGAAACCTGCTAGGGAGCTGCAGTCCTTGGGCTCATCTTCCGCCCTGTAGGACATTACTGCCATGTTTGGGGGTTGAGCACGGCACAAGGATAAACTAGTTCAGCTTCAGCTCTTTAAAGCACTGGATTTCCCATTCCTATCCAGGGGGTGGTTTTGGTCATAGAAAAGTCTACAGTAGCATTTTCAAAGGCTTCAGCATGGTCCACATTGTGTCCAAAAGAGGCGGCACAGTTCCCTTGAGGATGACCATAGAGCTGATGGTTCCTCTCAGGAACCTCTCAGGCGCCCTTGGAGCAGGGCTGTGTCAGCCAGCATGGTTTCACCCAGGTTATCTAATAAAAAACTCGGATGAAGTGAGGTGAGACTACTCATCCGTTATCCAGATCTGCTGGGGCAAACCCTGGAAACACCATGGAGTTTCCCGAGGTCCTCTCCTTGAGGCTGCAGGAAGGAACCTGCTGCTGGGTGGCTTGGAGAGTGGGCTGGCGTGGGGATGTGGGGATAAAATGACAGGTTTGGAGCAGGGAGAGCGTGCAGGGTCCTGGCTGCAGGGCAGCCTGTGCCCAGAGCAGGCTCACAGCCCGCTCCTCATCCACACCGGCCAAAGGGTGGGCTGAAAGGGAGGGAGGACGGGGGAAATAAAATAGGGAAAAAAAAAAAAGAAGCAGGTTTTCATACAGTAGAGAAAGAGCAGGTTTGCATATGAAGCCATTCATATTTGATGGTGGGTTACTTCCAACTTTTAAAACCCATTCCTTCCCTTTTTCTGACTTTCCCTTTAATGTGAAGAGCTATTTCAAGGTGAGTAATCGTTTTTGGGAAAATACTTAATATTGTAAAAAAAAGAAATGAAACATTCAGTTCTGGAAAAGTCAAAAATCACAAACTAAAAATCCTTGAGGAGCTGCAGGGAAAGTAGGCCAAAATCTCCCGTCCCACCCTGGGGAGGGCTTGTGGGCTTTCTGCCAGTGACCAGTTCCTCAAAACCTGCTCCCCAGTTCCCGCTTCTCCCCCTGCTCCCCCGTGCACGGGGCAGACCTGAAATCCACCGTTGCACTCATGCGCATCTGGGGCTTGCGGTGCTCTGCCCGGCGACAAAAGGGACGCGGACAGAGGCATTTTAAAGCAAAACTCCATCTCCGAGCGCGGTGTTGGTGCTGTTGCCTTTTGATATCAGCTCTAATGCTGTGGGAGAGGAGCGGCGAGAGGCTAACAGGCTCTGCTGGCTTGTTAAAGCAGAAGAGCCAGAAGAGAGGAGCTGGCGGGTTTTACTAGTTCCCAGCAAAGCAAGATGGATATTCCGCTATTGTCAATGCGAGAGAATCCCACAGCACGTTTCACGGCGCTGACGCCACCCGGAGAGACGCGGAGTACGCGCTGTGTCGGCAGTGCCTGCGTCTCGCAGGCTGGAGAGCTATTAGTCGCTACGAGGCTACGATAGCCCTTGGCTCGTTGTTAGAGCGTTTGCTCAAGCTTACGAACCATAAATTCTGTGCACTCTATCCAAAAAAATTAAAAACGTTCTTTCGCGCAGCAGATGGGAGAGACATTTGTGGTTGCGTGGGTGTTTGGAGTTACTTTTGTATGCAGAAAGGACCGGTCAGCTGCAGGTAAATATAAGATGCTGAATGAGAGTTACAGCCTTGTGAGATCCGTGTTGCCTAGGTGGAAAAAATCCTTTATTTTCCCTCTCTTGAGCAAACAAAAGGTCCTGAAACCTACAATTCATCTTGTTTCTTCTTGCTCCATTTGAAATGATCTTTATTCATCACTGACAGTAGCTTTTGTTATCAAATTTCTGTGGTAGATAAATGAGTTAGGATGAGGTAATGTGCTGTTGATGTAAATTGAATGCAAAGTGAAGAAGGTAATGATCGTCTCTCATTTTCTGTGCATAAGAAAATGCAAATGTGAGAAAATAAATTGAGCTAAAAAGCTGAAACAATACATCTCCTATCAATATAGAGGAGTGTAGAGAATGGCCTGCCATAACAAAGGATAATTAGAATCTCATTACCATAAATATTTTACTTTGGAACGTAGGTCAGTCAAATTATTTTTGGTTTATGGTGTGTATTTCACTTGTAATAGTACTTGCAACATTATTGCTAATTAATCTCCACAGAAAATGCCAACATCATTAGAATAAATAAGGCTATATTAATACAAATAATGTCGATTGTTTACTACTATTGCTGTCAACTTCTGGGGCACTAAATTGAAAGCAAAGTGCTTCTTTTTATTTATTTGCACACAAAATCCCCAGAATTGCAATCCCCACCATGGGCACTTTGGAGATGAGAGCTTTGCTGTTTAGGTGGATGACATCAATTAACTATCGGATCTGGGTTTATTTTGACTTAGTGTTCTACATTCTCGAAAGAAGGCTATTTAAAATACATGACCAAGTCCTGTTCCTTCCTATTAAAAAGTCTTTCTGTAGCAATGAGCTGTTAGGAGACATCTATTCTGGCTTGGGCAGCATCTTCCCGGCAGGACCACCACCTCGGGCTTGGGGACTGCCCGTCTTTCAGGGAAGCCTTCTGCTGCAAAGCGAAATGAAGCTTATGAGAAATCAGAACAAGAAAGCTATATCAATTTTAATCTGATAGATTTTTTTTTTTTTTAAATGGGCTCTGGCTGCACTGATCAATAATGTTAAACAGACTGATGGCTTGAAGATCTTGTTAAATGATTGTTCATAATCTCCCTTGTCTCCAAATGCACTCTTCTAAGCGAAAAATCCTTGCTCAAAATCTTAGGCAAATTGCAATTTGCCCTTGTCATCTAAGCAGCTATGGTAAGTAATCCTTCCTTAACCAACAGCAAACAAGCCATTTCTGAAAAAATAGGGAAAGCAATGTTTGATTACTTTTCTTCTTCTTTATTTGATTACTTTGAAGTCCCTGGCTTTTTCTGGAGCAGTGATTGTGGGAAGTTATCCAAATATAGAGGCAGCACAGCCATGGAGTCCTTTGCAGTGCCTATCATTCTCTTGTAGTCATTCACATACTGGAGAGAGTACCAATTCTGTTAAAAATGCCATAGCCACCGCAGATACGAAGGTGTATTTGGACGTCAGTGGTGTTGGTGACCTACCCCAGGTGAGGATATGCCCTCAGCTTTCACGGGTGGGATGCAGAAGCCTCATCCCCGTGGCAGTGGCTCTGGGCGGGTGGGATGGCAGGCACAGGGAGATGCTGCTGCTGACTTCAAATCTGGGCTGTGGGAGGGGTATTCAGGCAAAAAGGAGGTGGTTGGCTTTGGCGATGTGAAATGGCAACCAGGACCAAGGCTTCCGTGACGGCAGCATGCAGTTTGTGCAGGCTCATAGCTCTCCTGTCTCTGAAAACCTCTCCCCTACTTCCCCCGTCCATCCCAGGGCTTTCAGTTCCCAGGTTGGGCGTTTTTCTTCTGCTTTTATGCAGAGGCTTCAATACTTGTGCCAAGAAACAGGCTCCCCTTGCTGAATCCCCTCCAGACACATCCGTCGCAGTTAGCACTTAAGCTCCGGCCCTCCCATTTTATTCCGTTTTTAATTAGACTCCTGAACAGGAGCAGAGAGCAAACTCTGCTTTCATCTGGGAGATCCTGTGGCTGTGAAATATTTACGGGAGGTAAATAACTGTCAGAAAGTAAATAAGTCCCTGACTCTACATGAGTGTAAAAGTGCTTTGAAATAGTCTCATTCGAATAAAAGCTTCTCATGTTGAGTGACAGTAAGAAACAACACAGGCAAAAAATTCCCAATGTAGAAGGTAAACACAATTACTAATTCATGGAGCAGCACGTTTCACAGGAGCAGCTTTAGTATCTTTCTTCTCAGTTTGATTTAAAATAGGCCAGATTAAAAGGAAATATGGATTTGGTTTGGTCATCATCTTTTCAGAAAGTGGAGAGCAAGCACGGCTAGACGCCCTGTGATGCTGAACTTACTCTAAATTTAGACTTTGCCGTCTCCACTTGGAACTCTGGATAAAGCAATGAAACAAAGCTCGGAGAAGGCAGCAGCTCTTGCAGGTTTTGGTGGGTCAGGTAGATCACGAAGCACAAACATCACCGTACAGAGCAAGAACTAAGTTAAATATAAGCTCAAAAGCTGGCTTGCCACTGTGCAGGGGATGGAAAGTCATCCTTGCCCAGGCTTGCTGATGTGAACTTGAGTTCTGCAGTTTGCTTTGAAACACATCTCTGAAAGATCTTTCTCCCTCCTCCAGCAAACCCATTACTCCCATCTGCTGATGGTATTGGTAGCGTAGTGTCCTAGAGAAATACTCCTGGACCGGGACTCTGCTAATAGAGACAGATTAACTCCAGCCAGCGCCATCCAGCTAAGCAGAGGGAGCTTCTTTCCTTCTTCACTCACGGGAGAAGAGTCATCCCACCTTGCTCTGGTACCTGTTGTCAGAGGAGGGAGGTGTCTCTCTCTTTCAATTGATTAGAAAAGGTGGCTCGATTAACAGCTTATGCTCTATGTCAAACTATATTTTTGGATAGTTAAAATTGGGGTGAAACAAATCTTAACTAGCACATCCAAACTTACCTTGCACTTAACCCCATACTGAGGGTAAAGTAATAACAGTCGGTGTTCTCCCTTTGCCCATTTTCTATGTCAACATTTGTGGCTATGCCTTTGTTAATTTTCTTTGCCTTAACCATGTTCCACCTGAAGTTTCTAGCTTCTCCTCATTACCAGGGCCTCCTTGTGCCCTATTCACCTTTTCTATCTCCCTTTCTTTCTACTACCTTTGTAATTTGCCTTCTTGGCCTTTAGGGACCGAACTGTCTGTTGTGCTAACACTAAAATCTAAGGAGAGGATATGCAGAGAAGAGATAAGGCTGTTTCTAACCTG